AGGATAGAGGAAAATTAATGACTTAAGTAAACCCTTTCTAACTGCCCCAGTGCCTCAAAATCACCACTAGCCTTTTATTTATGATTTCAATAAGCTTTATTCTAAAGTTTATATCCTTTGTTAAAAGAATTTCTTAAGATTGTTTTCCTGACATACGGTTTCCAGGACTGGAAACAAAATGGAAAACATGATCCTGTGTTTATACAAAATCCTGCTTAAAGTTTGGCAGTTCCTCAAAAAGTTAAACATAGAATTACCATATGACCCAGCAATTCTACTCCTAGTTATATACTCAAGATTATTGAAAACACATGTCCACACAAAAACTTGTGCATGAATGTTCACAATAGCATTAGTCATGACTGCCCCAAAGTGAAAACAGTCGCAATATTCATCAGCAAAAATGTGGCATATCTATACATACACAAAGGAATATTATTTGGCCATAAAAAGGAATGAAATCTTGATAAATGCTACAACATCAACGAATCCTGAAGACATTTTGCATAGTGAAAGAAGCCAGACATAAAAAGCCATATATCATATGATTTATATAAAACGTTGAGAATAAGCACAACCATAGAAATAGAAAGTAGGGCACCTGGGTGGCTCAGTTGGTTAAGCGACTGCCTTAGGCTCAGGTCATGATCCTGGAGTCCTGGGATCGAGTCCCACATCGGGCTCCCTGCTGAGCAGGGAGTCTGCTTCTCCCCCTGACCCTCCCCACTCTCATGCTCTCTCTATCTCATTCTCTCTCTCAAATAAATAAATAAAATCTTTAAAAAAAAAAAAAAAGAAATAGAAAGTAGATTAGTGGTTGCCTAGGGCTGACTGTGGCCAGGAGGGAAAAGACAAGGAGTGACTGTTAATGTATACAGGGTTTCTTTTTGAGGTGAGGAAAATGTTCTGGAATAAGACAATGGTGATGGTTGTACAATGTTGCAAATATACTACAAACCACTGAATTATATAACTTTAAAACGGTGATTTGGGGCGTCTGGCTGGCTCAGTCAAAAGAGCATGTAACTCTTGAATTCGGGGTCATGAGTTTGAGCCCCACACTGGGAGCAGAGATCACTAAATAAATAAACTTTAAAAAAATTTAAAAATAAAATTATTTTTAAAAATAAAAAAAAATAAAATGGTGACTTTTATGGTATGTGACTCACATCTTAATTTAAAAAAGAAAGAAAGAAAGAAAGAAAGAAAGAAAAAGAAAGAAAACCAAAACAGAAAGTTCCACATAGAGGAAATTTTTTCTTTTTTTCCCCCCAGGCTTATCCTAGAACAATAAGTTTGCTTTCCTGAAGCATCACTCATATTATTCTGAGGCTTGTCTTTGACTAGTCTAGTCTAAGGTTGGCAAAGTGTTAACATTTCACTCAACAAATACCTATTATGAGGTATGGGGGAAGCAGGGCAAGGGAGGAGACAAAAAAGGATTTCTAAAATTAAATAATGGAAAAACCAACCACTAGATCTGAAAGCCTTCAGCAGAGTCAAGGGATGACTACCTTGAGGTTAACTATGCACTTGGTAAACTGAATGTTGCTAACTGCAACATAACATTCTCTTCTTCCCCCAAATAAATATCTGGGATTTGTCTCTTTAAAAATATTAAAATTTTCAACATTTTAAGAGGCTTCATTGGCTTCAGGGTTTCTATATTTGACAAACAGATTCACAAGATTCTAGACCTTTAGGAATTCTTGTTTTCATCAGATCTCCTCCAAGTGTTCAGCTCTATAAACAACCTCACAGTTTGGGTGTATTTTAACTGGGCAGCCAACCCCTCCATTACCTTGACCTCCACACAACCGGAGAGCTCACACACAGCACCCATGTCATGATTTTGTATAAAAACAGGATCACGCTTTCTATTTTATTTCCAATACCAGAAACTGTATCATAATGCTTAGCAGGAGATGTGACTATACCATGACTTATAAAATTAGCAACTTCAGCTAATCCCCACACTAATCCCTGGCAATCCAGTAATTTGTGCCTCTCTGTCCAGCAGAGCCACTTACACCCTTTTTTTGTTTCTTATTTCCAAGACAATTCAATAGGCAAAAGAAAACATTTCTTATATATATATGATGACTTGGAGCTCTTTCTAACAACAACCACACGCATATCAAAATAAGACTGATTTCCTTCTTCCTTAAGTGAACATACGTTGAGCTTTATGCATAAATCAGTATCGTGCATACATGTGATGCCAAGAGGACTCTGCCCAAGAAGGCTGCCTTCACTCCAATCACTTCTTTAACTGCTCGTTGGGGGCTGTTTAAAAAGCTGGTTGGTAAACCAAATCAAACAACAGTCTCTCCGCCTCAGAGTCACACCTTCATTCTGATTTTAAGTAGGATTGAAACTGTGGCATCTCTGACTTTGTGTCCCTCCAGCTCCTTCCTAAACTAAATCTACCCTAAAGAATAAGGATTTGCCACCATGAAGGAATATATTTCTTAGAAAACCAGGGGCTCTGAGAGCAATTCTAAATGAGGAGTTCCAAAAATAGAAGTTAAGAACCTCCCCTGATGATGACCTGAAACTATAAACTTGGTTGGCGATGTGAATTTTGGTCTTTGTTAATTATTAAGTTAATTATTATATTCACTTATAAGTGAATATAAGTAAAATGTATAAATACATTTTAAGTGTTATGAAAATTATGAACATGTGAATAGAGACAGGGTCCAGTAAAAATGAAAAACAACATCGCATGAAAGTGGATGATTTCTCAAGAATTTCCTTTAAGTTACTGCTATACTGTAATTAAATACAAAAGAAGATACTCATTCACCTTAACTGATAGCTACTTTTATTCCACACGATGTTCCAGGATCTTAATCGTCTGCCACAACCCCCACATCCCCTCTAGGTCACAGCCCCTGACCCTGAGCCTGTCTTCATGTACGGAGATGAGTTATCTTAACCCAGAGGACATCGCCAAATAGCTGCCCACATAAAGGCTCAGCGGACTCCTCTCTTCTCTACCCAGTCACACAGCTTTGCCAGGGCTCCCTTCCTTCTCTCTCTCAGCGTGGTAGCTCACCAAACAAAAAGGCTAAGTGTCACTTCCAGTGGATGACTTGTAAAAATAGCAGCCTCAACTAATCCCCGCACTAATCCCTGGCGATCTAGTAGCTTGTGCCTCTCTATCTAGCAGGACCACGTACACCTTTTGTTTCTTATTTCCAAGACAATTCAATAGGCAGAATAAAACATTTTTAAATATATGATGACAGCAACAACAAGCATGTCTAAGCACTTACGATGGCAGCGTTGGGCTAAATCCATCTCTGAGACACTGAGAATCGCTATTCAAACCTAGACCTCGCTGACTCCAGAATCTGCATCTTTGGCCACTATTCTCTGAAAATAATGGTAATTTTAACTTTTTAAAGTGTATGTATGCAAAAAGTCTCATTTAAGCCTCTGACCGTGGCTGTGAGGAATGAAGGTGATAAAGACCTTGAGATGTGAAGGGGTGGGGTAACCTGCCCAGGACCTCCAAGCTAGGGACATAGCCAGCGCTAGAACCCAGGATGGCCAATCACATCCACGATCTTGCCACCAGCTCCAAGCGGCCCTGAAGTCTAAATCAATCATCTGGAAGTAGTTATTGCCAATGGTTTCTTAGGCAATGAGACAGAAGAAAAGGCTAAAAATCAAAGGAATTTGGAAATAAGCTACCTTCTCTCAAAATGTGACAAATTTAAACACATGCATACCCACTTTTTGACATCACAATTCTAATGTGTAGAATATTATATTTAAAAAGTGGTAAACTAAAAAAAGCCAGGAGTTTTATAGTCGCAAGACCATTTCTAACTGGCAGACCTTGAGTAGGTCGCTCTTCATGTGTAAAATGGTCTTAGCTACCTTAGAATAGGCCAGGTATTTAGCACATAGTAGGTACATAAAATCCGTTAGTTTCCTCATATCACAGTCAATTCTAGGGCTTGCAGGAGCTCTAGGGTTATAAAATAACACTATAAGTTTGTCCCTTCAGAATGCCATGGACTCAAATGGAATTTGCTGACAAGAAAAAATACATTTTCCTGGAAGCAGCACTTTCCTGAGACTTGCATTAACTAGGGAGTAAACCTAGCAGTATCCTCCCATGAAATGCAATAACATTATTCATAACAGCCAAAAAGTGGCAGCAACTCAAGTGTCCACTGATGGATGAACGGACCAACAAAATGCAGTATACACAAACAATGGAGTTTTATTCAGCCTTAAAAAGGAAGCAAATTCGGACACACACTACAACACGGATGAACCTTGAAAACATGTTCTGAGTAAAATAAGCCTGACATAAAAGTAAAAGCATTGTATGAGTCCACTTATATGGGGCACCTCAAGTAGTCAAACTCATCAAAACAGAAAGTAAAATGGTGGCTGCCAAGAGTGAAGGTGGGGGTAGAATCAAGAACTAATGTTAAGGGACACCTGGCTGGCTCAGTCCATTAAGCCTACACCTCTTGATTTCCTTGACTTCGGCCCAGGTCATGATCTCAGGGTCAAGGGGGCTCCTGCTCAGCAGGGAGTCTGCTTCTCTCCCTCTCCCTCTGCCCTTCCCCGTGTTCTAAAGAACACATGTGCGCACTCTCTCACGCGCGCTCTTTCTCTCTCTCTCTCTAAAATAAATAAATAAATCTTTAAAAAAAAGAACAAGCGTTTAATGGGCAGAGTTTCAGGTTGGGATAATGAAAAAGTTTTGGAGATGGATGGTGGTGATAGTTAGACATGGTGAATATATTTAATGCCATTGAACTATATACCTTAAAATGGTTAAAATGCTCAATTTTATGTTACATATATTTTACCTCAATAAACAAATAGCAAAGATGCCGATCTGTCCACAGGAGCCTTATACTCTGCTTCCTGGGGCCTGGGAACCAAGCCTTTCTGTCTGCTGGCTCTGCTCTCAGCCTGCCCCAGCTCACCTTCCCATTACTAACCCATTCCCTCCCCAGGGCACTCACCTGGTCGCAGGTTCAGGGCAATCTTCTGCGGTGTCATCTGAATGACATCTGAGCTGGCGGGACTGGAGCCCTTGCTGCTGAGAGGCAGGCTCCGCAGGACCTGGGTGCTGCTGGCTGGGCTCTCAAACTCACCCCCGCAGCCGTTTCTGGCCAGGTTTGCCTTCAAGTCACACCGGGAGGTGATGGAGCGCAGGCTCCCGAAGTCCTAAGTGCAGCAACAAAGGAAGAGGGCAGAGAGTGGTCAGGCTGTCTTTCCAGAGCACCTCGGGGTGTGGACCCATCAGCATCTGGTGCATGCACCTGAAACGCTCCGCACTCCATTTTCATTGTCCGAAAGGGGTGAAAATGATAACACGTACCCCAAATGCCTCACTGAGGATTACGAGGGTCAATGAAGGTGCTGGATACAAAAGCACTTTGTAAACTGTAAATGCGTAATAAAAATGCTCGGTTTCGTTGTTACTTTAATGATCAAAATTCGTAAAAGAAAAAAAATGGGTCTGTCTGCATAATTAGCTGGAGGAAAGTACCTGAAATGGTCTGTTGCACAACTTAGTATGTTTTAAAGATACTATATAAGTAGACAAGTAGTCATCATTCAGCAATCAAGAGTTAACTTGCAGGGGGCGCCTGGGTGGCTCAGTCATTGGGCGTCTGCCTTTGGCTCAGGTCATGATCCCAGGGTCCTGGGATCGAGCCCCGCATCGGGCTCCCTGCTCTGCGGGAAGCCTGCTTCTCCCTCTCCCACTCCCCCTGCTTGTGTTCCCTCTCTCGCTGTCTCTCTCTCTCTGTCAAGTAAATAAATAAAATCTTTAAAAAAAAATTTAAAAAGTTAACTTGCAGGCACTGCACATTACACAACCGTTCTGCAAGACAACATGGCGATAAATATTGTACCCTTTGACCCAGTGGCCCAGTCCCAGGAATTTATCACAAGAAGTCAATCAAAAGAAAGTGGAAACTCTGTAAGATACATACTGCAGTGACATTTAGAATAGCATGATCTTAGAAACCTAAATCCCTCAACCATAAGAAAAACATGGTATACCACCCCCATAGATGACATAGTCATTCAAAATGATGAAGACTGAAAAGAAAGTTCAAAACATACTAAGAAAAAAAATCAGAAAATAAAATTGTATCTGCATTAGGATTCGAAAGCAAAACTTTAAAAATAAAGATAATTGAGGCATTAGTGTAGAGGGACTAAAATTACATTTTTTCTTTTATCATCCTTACTGTTGTTTGAACAATAAAGCCACATTGATAAGACAAATCTTCCTTTTCTTAAGCTGGATTTAGGAGAAGGCTAGATATCAGGATGACCCAACTTTATCTGGGGCACCAGGAGTTTAGGCCATTCGCTTTAAAATGAAATAACATACTCTATTATAAAATATGGTACTTCGGAAGTATTGATTGTTTTCCAGTAAGGGAATTTTTAACAGCAAAGCAAACCCAGGATGCTCTCTGCGCACCCTCTCACTGATGCATGTAGAAAATAAGATCACCTCCACCAGCTGGCTGGATGCCAGTGCTGGCCCAGATCATCCTCCTGATCGCTGGAGGAGTTACGATGCTGACCTCTTCCTCGCCCCTCTGTAACACTGTGCCAGAAAGCCTCAGCTGAGTCAAGTGTCCTCCCTGCTGTGTTAGGAGCCAGACTGCTAGCGGAAGCACAGAGACTTGGAGAACTCGCCCTCCGCCATGGTCTAGGATGCCCCAGGGCTAGCCAATGCCCGTTCGAGCCTTCACAAGATTCAACGCTAAGAAGTCAAGAAGAATTTGCAGTGTTTTTATGTAAGTGAAACCAGATGTGTTGTTCCGGGCCTCTGTGACTGTTGTTGTTGTTTATTTTATAATTGAATTTTTTTTCCACCCCTGGAGATCTTGCCCGTTGACCTCAGGGACGGTGACGTAAGTCTAAGTGGCTCCAGACACTCGTGGAACAGGTGAGAAAATAAATATTCTAGCTTAACATAAGTATCCTTGAAATGATACAAGATTTCAAAGCTAGGCTTTCCAAACTGGGTTCCAAGTGGCCGAGCTTGGCTCTGATGTAGAAATTCTAATAAAGCAGTGACAAAGCCCAGGGATGGGGGAAAGGAGAGGTAACTCCTGAGAGCCCTGCAGTAGTGGTCTGCTGTCTGGAGCTGTCTGCAGCGGAAGTCTAACTGGCTGTCCAGAGCTGGAAGGGCTCAGGGGCTCACCCGCTCAGAGCCTCCTCGGTGAAAACTTCTGAGCTTCCTGCTGGCACCTGGCGTCCTGGGCCTTGCTGCCAGCTACTCTAGTTCTGACGAGCTGCTTGTGCTCGGCCCAGTTCTGACTCTCAAGGTACACTGTCTTGAGCAGTCCAGGGCAATACTCTGCCACCAGGTTGGCAATGAAAGCATCTTTGGTCGCCCCGGAGTGATGGCAACCCCCGACACCCCGCCCATTGGTCTGAAGCAGCTTGCATTCTGGAATAGACTAGGTCACAGAGCCAACCTGCTTCACTCTAAGCAGGAGGTAGCTGCAGGATTCCTAAATCCACAGCCTTGGCAATTCATTTCAGCTTGGTCATCGAGATCATGCCCTACTGCCCAGACACCTGCACCAGCAGTGAACTTCACCCAAGCTTCCCAGTCATCCTGCTCAAAGGGGTTTTTGACAGACCCTACCAGTCCTTGATGGAGAACTTGTACAGGGCCACCTGCTGGCCAGGGAAGATGTACCTGCTAAGATCATCAGGAGACTTAAGGTCCAGGTCATCCTTCCCTGACCTGAAGAACTCAGAGACAGCCACACCCATGCCAATTACAACCGGATCTGTGTGTCTGGCTTTCCCAACTCTACTCTAGAGGCTCTGAGGCTTCTTTAATCTCTAGGATATTAGGAATAAGGCTCTCCTCATTCCCCTCATTGGTAACGGCTTATTTCTCCTTAATAATATTCTTCGAGGTTGTGGCACACCTCCACTCCAACGCGCATGGCTTCCCGGAAGTTCGCTGCACAGATACGGCAGGGCCATCAGCCTTTGTATTGTCACTGGCTGCCAGTATGAGAACTACCAACGACCACGTGAAAACTGCAACTTGCGGGGTGGCTGGCTGGCTGAGTCGGCAGAGCACGAGACTCTTGATCTAGGGGTGGTGAGTTCAAGCCCTGTGTTGGGCATAGAGACTACTATTAAACAAACAAACAAACTGCAACTCATAAGGTGCCCTCAGAAGTGCCAGTCAAGTCAGCAACGGGACAACACAGGGAGCCCTTCCCAGCAGCTGCAGCAGGACACACAGCAAGGGACACCCTACTGAGGCACCTGTACCAAATTCAGATTTAGTCTCAGTGCCACCCATCTCTATCATCAGTTTGTCAACCTTCTCCTATTTCAGAGTTGAGTGTCCTGTTACTTGGGGCAGGCCCAATGACTTCAGTGATGTGTTCAACAGCCTTTGAGACACCTTTACCTGTATATTGAATCTTGTCATTGTCGCAGGGCTCTGAGGCCTCAAAGACACCCCCTGAGGCACCTCTGGGCGTGGCAGGTGTGAAGCACATTTTGAGAGTAAGGCAGCTGCCTCAACAGTGGGATTCCCACATAGCTGAGGGGCCATCTGGCTCAGAATCTGAAAAGAGCCACAACTAATTGCTTGCTGCCCAAGAAAGGGACAGAGAGTGCTGCAGGCCCAGCTGGGAATGCTGACCCCCCAAGCCCAAGTGTTTCTCCTCCTCCTCTACTCCTGAGCTCTTCTCTAGATCGTCCTTCAGATGCCAGAGACCTGACACTTGGGCCCTCGTCCAGGTGCCAGAAGACAGCAAGTTGCAAGAGGAAGGGACTTTGAATGCATCGCCTGGTGCCAGCCCTGCTCTCTATGGGTGAGGCATCAGAGGCCCACATGCCAAAGCTCATGCCTCAGTTCATCCAAGAAACTCAAGTTCATTGGGCTTCAGCTGCCTGGACCCCAGTGCTCTTTGCATCGCCTCCCTTCCATCTCAACAAAGGCCACGGCTGAATGCTGCAGTAGGAAACTCTGGCTCCACAGATCCCATCCCTCTGATTTTAGTATTTCCTTGCTGCCCCGAAGGCAGAGATCTTCCTGCCATCTATCAGACTTGGAGGATAAATATTCTCTCTTATTCAGAAAAACAGGTATGGAAGGAGAGGGGGGACTTCATCTCAACATGGAAAAATGGAAACTAGTTTCAGGAAGGGCTTCTACTGGGGCAGAGCGCAACTGCGTGCAGATGCTCCTGATGCTCTGAGCTGGAAGGAGTTTCAGCTCATGGAGGAAGCATCTGTCCGTGGTCTCCAGAACTGCATCCATCAACCCTCCAAGGACTCATAAAAGGAAACGGCATTACAGGCAAACTTCCAAGAGAAGCAACAGAATGGGAACAGGAACTTGAAACATCTTTTATGGCTTTCAGTCAGTCTGTGGTAACATAAAAAAGACAAGGAAAGTATTCCAAATGTCGATCCTTTTTATTTGTTACAACATTGGCCTTTGCAAGTTGTGGTAACTTGCTCCCCTCTCCTTGCTCCTATGCGGCCTATGAAGTAGAGGATAGGATGAGCTCCACCGTTGGCTGTAACATTGTAACACCTAACTCCCTGGACATTTTGTTCACCAAAATCTGTCTCCCTGCAGTGAAAGCCAGCGCCCGCCCGCATCCTGGCCAGTGTGGTGGGGTTCATTCAGGTTTGTCTGAGTGGGCCACACTATCGTGAGGGAATCCGCACACCACCCTGCCTACGTTTGCTGAAGGCTGGAACTCTAAAAAGATGTGGGTGTTGGTTTGGGGGGGGAAGGACGGATTCTTGTTTGTTTCTGAAACAGCAGGGGTGGGAGAAGAGGAACCCCAGCAGGAAAGGAGGCAGACAGGCCCAATTTCTGGGATGAAAATGGAAGAAACAAACTGGTGAACAGGCAGGGAGCCTGGCAGAGAGGTGGGCACAGGTGGGGGAGCTGACTGCCCTCTGAGGCGGGGCTTTCCCCTGGGATACGGCAGGGCCACACCAGTTCCACAGAGCCCTCGTTGATGGGGGGGTGGGGGTGGCGGGCATAAGGTAAGCCTCGCAAACCGAAATCTGCGCATGAGCAACACACTACCCTCCGCCTGGGAGATGGAGAAATCCCTCTGTCAGCTTTCAGTCAGCTCATTTAATTCACTGAACAAATATTTATGAAGCATCTACAATAGGCCACAATTATTCCTTTCATGACCACAAAG